TCCCGCACGATTTGGATGGCTTCGTTTTGGCGCATTTCAATGCTGTGTGCCAGATCCTTGGTACATACGTTTTCTCTTCCTTTCTGTTAAAGTTCTCTTGGTGTTTGTGTATTCCTATGACCTCCAAATACATTCTTGTTAAATAATGATTCGACGTTGCTAGCCTCTCGGTATTTTCGAAAAGGATCTTGTGTTCCCCGTCGGACAATGCATGTTCAGCGACTGCAGACTCCTCGGAAATGAGAGTTTCAGTTGAAACGTTTGGAGATTGTAATCTAAAAAGACCACGAAGACCTGGAAACCAACAAAAACATTGACGACAGCCGTGGAAGCCATAGATATAGCTTATAGAGATATAGAGTGATTGCGTTTTTTGCTGTTTTCATTGTATTCATTTTTTCATTCAGTTTTCTCTAATATCTAGTTAAAATAATCAACATGACAATATGTATTGAAAAAATTGAAATGGTGCAAAAATTTTATAATAGCTCACATTTTTGAATGCTGTAATACTAAAGGTATTATACATGCTTTAGTACTCACTAGCAAGATCGTTTTTTGTTCCGATTTGTTACAATCACATTGTAACAATTCGGAGAGAATTGAAACTTTCTATGTTTTTACCACTTTCATTTGTAACTAACGTTACTGCAGTTTCGTCCTATAAGGACATTTTCAAACTTGTACATTAAATGTATAAGTTTAAAAATACATTATACCAATATATTACATTACACCAAAAAAGCGAGCACGAGCGAACAAGAGCGAACAAGAGTGAACGATAATTCTGCATCAATAATCGTCTGGTGAATACGGGCTAGCGAGCGAGCGAACGTATGCTTCTTCGCGTTCAGAAAAGATCGAGAAGGAGGCGGTACTACAAACTTGAAGATATTCGCTCTGGTGTGGACTAGACATCAATATGTCGAGCAAACACGAGCGAACATACACGAATGCTCGCTCATGCTCGCTCGTGCTCCCTTTTTTGGTGAATACGCACCTTAATATTGTGAAATTTTTCAACGATCATGAAACATTTGTAATGCACGTAATAATTATTTAAAATACAAGAGTTTTTTGTCACGAGTCCTTTGACCTGAAGAAAGACGACATCTTATCAGTTTAAAATTTCGATGGAACAAAAACTACTAACGATCGTGAAACATTTTTTGCAGTAGTAACCTCGCTGACCGTCGAAATTAACGGTAGACAATTTTAAAATAACTCGAATGTCTTTATATCGGAAACTATTTTTAGGATACATATAAGGATTTGGTTGCGCTTAGCGGTTGCTGTTGTTCAACCTTGACACTGATGAACTTGATTCATTTACGAAATTTTAATTAATTTTAAAAACAGGGAAAATTCTGTATAGCTTTTTTTATAATTGATTTGCGTAATCGTGTTAGTTGATTGAACGGCAGTTTTTATTTGATAATGGATTCATGATGTAGAGGTGGTATACTTTTACATAATTTATTATTTATTCCTTAACGAATAATTGATTTGCGTAATCGTGTTAGTTGATTGAACGGCAGTTTTTATTTGGTAATGGATTCATGATGTAGAGGTGGTATACTTTTACATAATTTATTATTTATTCCTTAACGAATAAACCATTTTCGCTGTCAAATTGACAAATTGAAAATATTTTTTCTATTCCTGAAGTAACTTTAATAATTCATCTTCTTACCCAAATGAATTTAAAGTGGAAGGAGTTTCACAAATTGACTAAAGAAAAAAGTGACTATATGTATTTTCTGCATGCATATTGAGAATGTTTAAATAATCTGATTGAAATCTGTTATTCCGCCTTCCCCCCCTCCTCTACGAACTACAACTCTCAAAAGTCGTAACTTGTGCAAGCTAAGGACTAACGAGGTATTACCTTTTAACGTGTGATTCCTAGCAAGGGTTGGACGGTAGACAGTGAAAATCGATCGTCCGGCCTCGCGGCTTGAACCACCGGTTCACACGGCGGTAGATTGAGTGAGTGGAGTAAAGCTCCTACGTCAACCCGACCGGCTACCGTAAAATGGGTTTCTAATCAGTCGCCAATGCAAAGAAGTGAATTCGGTTACAACCAATTCCAGCAACAAGCCATGATGTCCAGAGTCGTATCGTCTAGGTTGTTGCACATTTGTGAAGAATGTTACAATACCTCATACCACAATTAAAAGGCCTTCGATCAGAAGACCAATTCAACAAACGGCAATACCGGAGAAAAACACAAGTTTATCAGCCGTAAATCTTGAGATATTGAAAAAATGAATAAATAAACCACTAACAAAGCGGAAAAACAGTACGCGTTGCATTGAACCTGAAACTGAGTGTCAGACATAGTCCAGAATTTTTTTTCTGATTGATTCGGCCGTTACTTGATGAAGATCCATAGTAATTTCATAAACTACACTCACGGTAACACCGTAGCTTTATCAACAGTGATTTGAATCACTTTCAACAGTGATTTGAATCACTTTCAACAGTGATTTGAATCACTGTTGATAAAGCTACGGTGTTAGCGAAACATGTGATATATTTTTAAAATAAAGTTTGTGCAGATCAAATCGTGAGTTGTAGTTTATGAAATCCGGAAATTGTGCTGAGAGCATATGTTTAGACATACTAGCATGTCTTTCACCATTTCGGAGGTGAAAATTTGAAAAATTGGTGCTGCTTTTCAAAAGTCGCAAAACTTAGGTTTCAGCAAAGAAAATTCGCTAATATAACCAAAATATATGCGAACATTCGAAAAAAAATCACATTTGCAAGCAAAAGACAAGAAAAGACATTGATGCGAAATTTCAGTCGTGAAAGTGCGATTTTGGCGAAAATGGAAATATGTAAATTTTCTGTCATTTTGAATTTTCAGTTGTTTATATTTGGCCAAGTTTTGGTTGAATTCAAATTCAATATCCAGAAAATTACCGTCTTAAAAAACTCTAATAGCTTTAGTAACGCTACCAATGAAGGGACCGAAACATCAGCTCACAAACTGTTTTTTTTTTCTTCGTAATATCCGAACATCCAAAAATCAACACTTTTCGCAATCACCAGAACTTCAATACTCTTTCACTAACCAAGTTAGCATTTTCAAGAGATGAAAAAAACCAAACATGTTCTCCATGTTTAACAATGTTCCTAGTGTTTGAAATGGAAACCATTTTAACACGTTATTTGTGATGACTTTAACTACTGAATCTCCAAGATTGAATCCCACCATTAATATATTTTGCTTTTTGGGGAGCAGGCTTTGATGGCCATTTTCGTATACTTTACAGGCTAACAATATATATTTCACTTCATTGCTTTCCTAGTTTCTCTGCATATTCCATAACTTTACTCATTAAATAAAAAAAAATTGAATTAAATTAGTTAGGTTGAACACCCTACCCTAGTTTTATCCTAAGATGTCTGTATCATTGCCGAGAGGATGCATGCCTACAAAAACAAGCAGTTTTCGCAATCACCAGAACTTCAATACTCTTTCACCAACCAAGTTAGCATTTTCAGGAGATGAAAAAACCGAACATGTTCTCCATGTTTTAACAATGCTCCTAGTGTTTGAAATGGAAACCATTTTAACACGTTATTTGTAATGACTTTAACTACTGAACCTCCAAGATTGAATCCTACCATTAATATATTTTGCTTTTTGGGGAGCAGGCTTTGATGGCCATTTTCGTATACTTTACAGGCTAACAAGATGGTCTTATTACTAGAAAAACATCAACGAGTGATGAAAATTCCTTTTTAAAAAGATTTATTTATTTACGAAATACAACTTTTAGCTCAAAAGAACGATGTTAACAGTGTGAATGCTAGTTACTGACTGACTTGAATAAAACAAATGAGCAAACAAGTAAATTCTGCAGAGTCAGGAGATAATGCTGAGTTCGCTTCTTCTCTGGTGGCGGCATGATATAATTCTAGTATATTTCACTTCATTGCTTTCCTAGTTCTCTGCATATTCCATAACTTTACTCATTAAATAAAAAAAAATTGAATTAAATTAGTTAGGTTGAACTTTTGAATAAACAACATAAAGTTGAATTAATTTCTTCACTATATTATCTGTCAAACAAGTCAGGAGAAATAAGTCAAATTGTCTACAAGTAAGTGCATGGACACTCGATGGCCTCGTTGGTTGATCCTATCTTTGGTGCCTTCCTTTCCTTTTTATACACTGCGGTCAAGTCTAATCAATAACCACACCCAGTGTTTATTATCACTTGAAGCGAATTTAGTAGTGGGTTTTTCTACCTTTTCCAGAACGATGTCCTTGCAGTTTTTGTTATCTTGTGAACATATAATTAATGATAACGCACACATCTGTTTACTCGGCATATGTGTATCTTTATTTCATAGGTGTATATTCACTAAAATGTGTGAAATTTTCAAATAAACTCAAAGAATTACTAATGCATTGATACGTATTGATAAAGTATTTATCTCATTTACTTTTTTTATTTACTTTTGTGGGAAAATACATCCACGTATTTCAAGTGTGCAATATTTTAATTCTGCTCAATGCTTTTTTCCTAATTTTACTAGTATAAGTGGTAAACTTCAAAATTTTATTCATCAACTCAGAATTGTCAAGTATTATTCAATTGCAACGTTGATGATGTCAAAGGGGACAATGAAAAATTGCACATGCGTGTTCAATAAAATACGCAACAAAGCACATACTTTTACATATGCATCATTTTTTGTACAGTGAAAAAAAAAGACAAGACAGGTTAGGTTGTTTGGAGCATTCGCAACGTCATATAGTTTTTTCAATAGACTGTTCGTATGCATAAATTAATGACGCATGTGCAATATTTCGTGGCTCCATGTGTAACTATTTTAGGATCATGTTCTTGAAAAAATATTGGGAGACTACTTATTTTTACATTCCATCTCCTACCTCCAACTTGACGGACGCTCCGTCAGGTGAATGAGAGGTTTCAGCCTAAGATGAACTAACAAATGACGCTGCCTTTCTTTTGTTTCAGTGTTGAAAGACGAACCAGAAGATCTGACACACCTAGCCCCCGTTGCTGGGGACGTGTGTGTCCCATTGGAGGACCACCCTTTCATCTCGGACATGTTGGACGATATCTTACTGGAGAATAATTTCAGTTCCATATTGTCCGAAAGACCGATAATTACATCAGATCAGTTCTTGACCTACCGAGATTTCCAGAACACGTCCCCGCAGATGCTGTCGCCTAATGATTTTTCCAAGGTACGTATTTATTAAATGGTACACAGAAAGAGTAATTGTGGCTGATGGGTGTGTCCTTTGTGATTTTTAAAATGAAAATAAAATTTCACTTATAAACGTATGTGGGAAACATTTACAATATACTGTTTATTGAAAAGCTATACCTTGTTATATGAACATGATTTTGCTTCATAAAATCTTCTTTCCCAGAAAGACTACTTTTTTCAACAGTCAGACGAATGTATAGGGGCTTGGGCAAAAGGTCCTGAATGGCAGAAATTTTCAAGTAATATTACAACAAAGGGATATCCTATTTTTGACTACTTTTTGTGTGATATCGTAATAGGTATATAATTGAAATTCACAATTATACAAATTCATTAAAAGAAAAAACATCTGCTGACAAAAAAATGCACTTACATATCAATTATGTGTCTTGAGAACATCTTAACTGAAGACAATATAGATTAATAGGTGGTTGGGGGTGGATGATGGAAAAATGGTTTGAGGTTGAAGATGTTTGAGAGAGGAGAAAATTTTCAACGACCATTTCTAAAAACGATTTTTGAGAAAAGCAAGAAGTCATTTATAGCAACCCCTGGCTAGGGGGTCAACTGTTAATCTTTGTTGCGAAAACCATATTGGTTATCGCTCGAAATTGAAGTATTCCAAACATTTAAGAATATGATGATTTACTATTTTATTTTTTCATCTATACTTTTTTGGGAATATCTTCACCTCTTTGGTTAAAGGCTGAACGAGAGCGGTTTTTCAATTAGAGAGAAAATCTATTTTTTCTAGAGTTTGACGTAAAGTCAAAACACAAAAGTTATTGTTACGCTGATTTAGGAACTGTATAACTAGACGACTCCAAAAAGAAATTTGCGTTATTGAGTCATTGTACAGTGAAAATAGTGGGAGGAAATAAAGTAATAATAATAAAAATGATATCACTGAATAGAAATTTTGTTTGTTTAGATCCAAAACGAATGTATTCATGTAAACGCAAATTGTTGGCAAGATTAAAACTTTATGATGGAGATGTGATAATATCGTCCAAATGCCATTCGAATTTGCTACCGATAAACAATTCACTCGACTCACGTTAGAATTGAATTGAATGCAGTTTTGTTATTTCGGTTGTTAGTAGTTGTTCCAAAAACGATTTCGTAACTTTTAGTAGCAAAACAAAGAAATCCTTATAAATTTCAAATGAGGCTTCCCAAAATGAAAAGTTTGTTGCAAAAAGATATATTCATGTAAGGAAAATTGATGTAGGTGAGTGTATTCTATTTCTGAAAATCGAATACTTCAGATGAAGGGATTATTGAAGTTTAAAAATTAGAATATTATTTAAAACGAATAAAACAATATAGTTTCATTAATTTCAGGAAAAATTTTGCTTGAAAATTGTAGATTTCTAATTTTAATGAAGAAGAAAGAATTGAAACTTTCTATGTTTTTTACCACTTTTATTTGTAACTAACGTTACTGCAGTTTCGTCCTATAAGGACATTTTTAAACTTATACATTAATGTATAAGTTTGTTTGTTTTTTACCACTTTTATTTGTAAGTAAAGTTACTGCAGTTTCGTCCTGTAAGGACATTTTCCAACTTAAACATTAAACAAAAAACGTATACATTAATGTATAAGTTTGAAGATGTCCTTATAGGACGAAACTGCAGTAACGTCAGTTACAAATAAAAGTGGTAAAAAACATAGAAAGTTTCAATTATCTTTTCTTCATTATGATTTCCTACCACGTAGTAACGGCTACATCCATCAATTTATTTCTAATTTTGTCTGGTGTTTTGCAGAAACTTATTTGTTTTCTTTTTTTAGTTTTTTTGTCAAGTTAAAAGGCCTTGTGATGAGTAGTATTATAAGCAGAAAATATTAGAAATAATCGTAGAAAAATTAAATAACTTTCAAAATTGTCGCCTATTAATATGTCGACGTAGAAACAATTAAATTCAGTTTTTTTGTGCAGTTCCAGATATCATTTATTTTTAAAAGAATAATTTGAGACTCGCCATGAAATTTCAGTAAGTTTTATAAAAATATTCAATAAATCTTGACAGTAGGAGCCAGCTTTACTTTACTGAATGATCAATCATGGAAGATTGATTGATATAAGACGATTTCTTGACAGCTTGTCTTTTCCAATAAGATCACTTTGATCGTTTAGCAATTTCTATCATGTTAATGTAAGACTGGATATGTATTCCTATATCGGTTACAATAACATATTTTAAAAAAAATACTGAATACTACTGTGCCTGGCCAACTGTATGTTACAAATCGTTTGTTAAGTTGAGAATGAACTGACCCAGATCGGATTTTTCATTCAATATTACTGGTTATACGGGGATATTCGATGTACTAATTCGGGATCTTTTTTATTTTTTGAGAAAAAAGATTTTTGGCTTTCACTTCTCCTAAAAAATACCCTATCAATTTTTATATTGATCCCAAATTATGTAGGATATTTTTTTTAGAATGTCGTCACATTTATATTTAGTGGTATTTATTTCCTCATTAAATGTAGAGGCGATACCTACAGCATGCTCCTCCATATGTATTTTGTCCTTTTACATTCAGCAATATAAATATCAATACATTACATTTATGAAGAGCATAATAACTTTAGTAAAAAATATTCAAGGAAACAAAATATAAACTAATCTAGCCAACACTAGATTTACAAAATGACAGTGAACCTGAAATAAACATATCGCAAAACTATTCTAGAAAAATTTTAATGAAAGAAAATCTACCAGTCTAGGATATACTAGACAACAAAAATGAATATCAACATTATCTCATGAAATAAGATACACTTCAAATGAGTATTTCCTTCAAACCGATAAAATAATGAAAACAAAGTTTTACAGCGATGAAAAGCCTTTTTCCAACACCGATAAAACTGATAGACATGAAATTAACATCTGCATAGGTTTGTTTGAAGGTGATTGACAATGTTTCATGATGAATTTCACTAGTTCGGACTTCCATTGTCTACTATATAAAATGATTTGAAATCCCTGAAACAACTAAAAAAGAATAATTAAAAATGAAAAGCTGAAAAACAATTATATTAAGCAAAAAACCTGAAATGAAATAATAGTGAAATAAAATACAAGTAAAAATAGAACAATTGGACAAAAAATTAATAAAGATAAAGAAATGAAAAAGAAAATAAAAATAAAAAGTTGAGAGATTCCAAGCCACGTTAGTTCACGACGTTTCGATTGTTAGTATCTACAATCGTCTTCGGGTGATGACCAGTCATCCAGCCGCTTCCTTGGCTAAAGAGTCGGCAATGCGATTACCTTTACACCTGTCGTGCCCTTTAATCCACCTCAGGATAATGTTATTATCTACCGAGGCTTTGGCTAAATCTTGGTGGCACTCTAGTACTAGCCCTGAGGTAACACGTTGTCTGTTCAAGGCTAATGGGGCTTGTCTGCTATCAGTACAGATTGTTATGTTTTTTGTCAGAAATTTCTTTTCTGGTCATTTCTTTTGTGGCAATTGAGATACCAGCCAGTTCTGTTTGAACCACGCTGGTATTTTTCCCATTCTCCATTTAATCTGGAGTACACTCCACATCCTGAGTCTTCTTTGGTTTTTGAGCCGTCTGTATATAGGCGTATTGCATTTGTAGCATCTGACTTTGTGTTCTGTTTTGACAGTAACTAGACCCTCACTCTACTGAGACCAAGCACAACTATTTTACAGAAATGAACGTCGTAACTTCATTGTTGTACCTATCTCCTATTTAATTTTCGAATATTCGTGAGTAAAATACTAATGAGTCAGTCCTCTTAAAAATTTCAATTTCATCGTGTACTCTTTCCGCCGTTTTTGCTATTAAAACGTTTTTGTTTCAGCAGTCCGATTGCAGTCTTCCCTCTCTCAACAGTCCGAGCGATTCTCTTTTAGACGACGACATGTCTACGTTCACTAATATTCACATGGAAGATGATCCTGATAGCAACAACGATATCCTACTGAAAGTAAAATCCCCTTCTCCGATTCCGATGTCCGAACAATTTCCCTTAATGTTTACGACTGATCTCATGTGGAGCACTGTTGAGGAAGAAGTGGAAAAACCGGAAAGTAATTCCAGTTTAGCACAGCTGCTGTCCAGCAAACACAACCTCAAAATGAACGATCACGGAGGGGGAATATTGCAGGAAAACGACATGGACGATATCTATAACGCAAAATGTAAGTGGGAAGAGAGTGAAATAATTTCAGTGTCACTTGTAAATTTCCCATTTTTTGCCAGCTATAATTTTTTTAAAGTCGTGCGAAATTTTTCAAGTAGGCATAATATTCTGGCTGTATTCCTTGATTCGAAACTCAAAATATCCAATCAATTCAAAAACAACACAGAATATCCTACGGATATATCTAACAGTTGATGTGGATTCTATAGACATCCATAAGATACACACAAAAATGGATATTTCGCAGACGTACATATTAATATTTTTCGGGCATCAATATTATGAATATAAAGACTTTCATTGAATATTCATTGGGTACCCATGTGTTGCATGGGTTGGTGTACCTTCATATAGTTTCCTTCGTGTACTATAATGAAAATCTAACATGTTTCGTTTGTGGTACCGGCTTGCTTCGAAGACTTTTCACGGATATTTTAATATTTTTTCCAGAAAATTCGGGGTTCCCAAACTCTCTTCGTCCTTTTTCATAGTGTTTTCATTATGCCTTTATGGCGATCTTTGACCTGGGTATTATTGGAGTCTCGTTTCAAATACCCCCGTGACCAATATCTCCAGGAAGGTTGTTTTTTGATGCCTTCACCTCTAAGTGAACTGTTATTTTTTTCACATAGTATTGATATGTTCAAGAAATTCTAAAGATCTTCCGGTCCTTGCAAATTATGCTTTTGGATTGAATAATAATGAGATGACCATTGTGTTCTGGAGAAATTTCTTTCAAATACTTCATTGCCTTCTTATCTCTGAACTATCTCTAGACCTCACAAAATTCAAGAATTTCTGGTTTAGCACTTTAACATTCGATTCTCTGATAGACTAAACAATGGTCATTTTCATTTTTGAATTATAATCCTTCTATTAAAAGAGTCGAAAGTAAATTTTCTCTTTCATTCAATGTAGAAATGTCACCTATCTCAATATCTATAAAAATATCACTTGTCTCATATGCTACGTTTGACTTGGTAGAAAATTGAGAACCAATACAATTACGTCCTCATAAAGGTAAAAAAAGGTGTGATTCTATTCATTATTTTATCTGTAAAGTTCAAGACACGATTTTTTTTTGACAAGAAAAGCTTTGCTGCTTTCTACTTCTCTCCAGCTTTATACAAAAATATGGGAAACTTTCGAAGAAAGGAAGAAAGCAATGAAGTTCAAAATCAACTCTTTATTAGAAATGAGAAGATCTTGCATGTTTCTTTCAGAGTCGTTTCAGTCACAGACTGAAAGAAAAAACCTTCCCTAACAAGTTTTTTCACATGAACATTGAACTAAATGAAAGAAAAATCCTAACGAAAGCTGGTACTTATGAAATGGGAATGACACACCAGTAATAGATTACTTGTTCATTTAGGTAGTGAAACAATTAATATCTTTTTTTATTGCAGTTACTCGCAAAAACTGGATCAATAATAACACCAACTCACAGCTGAATAAACTAGAGCGTTCTCCGAGTGTCAAAAGACCTAATTCAAGTACATACAACCAGTCAAACAAGAGAACGCGAAGCGAACCCAAGGAAAAAATGTCTTCCGAACTCCTACATCAGCTGATGTCGAATAACCACAACAGGGGCAGGCAAAAATCCAAAAGTAACTGGTTATTAGAGAACGGTTCGGAGAAAGCCGCTTGTATATCTCAACCAAGCGACAGTGTGTTGATGAATCTTCTGGTAAGCGGGTTCGATATCAGGGCTGGGTACATCTGTTTGGCCCCAACTAAATCTAAAAGATGAAGCGAATCGATCGTTTGTGCTGCGATAATGACGTTCATCTAGTTTGAATGTTTCGTAAAAGTCTCTTTCGGTCCATTATTGAATAATATTCTGTCATACTGAATTTCAATATTTCAATATATATGTCAATGTTGTCTTTTCGTTTGAATGCAAATTATATTCAAGAGAGGAAAACTACTCAAAATGCATAGAGTGTTGAAAATAGATGTTCTTTGTTATCTTACACTGCTTTGGGTTGCAAGGTATTTATATGCAGTCAGATCTCTGATTTTTCGAAAGTCTGCATTTGAAACGAAAGTCTGCATTTGAAACGAAAGGAGTAAAACGTCCCTAACCAACTAATCATGGAATGTTCTTCAACTCGATCACAATAATGGAAGATTACAGAAGAGTTTTCCCGCCTTTTTTTGAATCTAACATGTTTTGTGTAGTATGTTGGCAAACATATTTTATACTGCAAAGAAAGAATCTTGTGTTGTCTACAGTTAAATACAAACTGAAGTAACATATTGACTTAAATCAGAATCGTAAAAGAAGTATTGTTTGAATCGATTTAGATATTTATTATTCAATAAAAGTTTCGTATCCACGGTAGTGTTTGGATATCTGTTCATGAATGAATTCCCAAAATTGTTTCTTCAATTTTGTTTCGATACCCTACTAAAAAATGTCAACATCGTTACATCGTTTCTGGAAACAAAAATCTAATAATTGGAGAAGCTTGAACCATAATATTCTTCAGAATATGAATTTTTGGTTAATTGGATGATAACAGAGACATGAGTTAGCATCGTAAATCGTCAGTTCTGTGAGGAATCCAGAAATTGCAGCTTTACTTCATAAGATCATTCTATGTAAGATGATAGATATGAATAGGACAGATATCGAATATGACAAAAATCCTCTGTTCAGTATTGTACAGGTTTGATGAAAATTTCTAGGGGTATTCACAAAGCAAATGTTCAACGTCCCAGCCATATTAATGGTAATTCCAGTGTTTGAAATCCAGATTTTATGAAGGTGATATCTATGAAAAGTCCCGTTATGAACGTTTTGTTCAGTTCAGAAGCTGTTCAGATTTTTCTAACGACTGTTTTTTTGAGACACTCATGAGAACATGTGTCTAAAGCATGCAGTTCTCAAAAATATGTTGATGCTTCCAAGGGGTTTTCAGAGCATCTATGTTTGGCTTTTTACTTCCACATCAACCTCTTTATCTATCTCGAAAAAACTGACTTGTCTCCCTAACCTCTTATTGATATTCGCATGAATAAGCAGAAAACAAAGCATTGACGTTTACAGGAGCACTATTACGATGAAATGTTATAACATTGAGAATTGATGATGTTGGAGAAAAACTCTCCTATGATGTTCAAAAGTCGGCAGTGCGTTGCATCTGCGACTTCAGAAACATCAGAAAATTTTTTGACAAGTAAAATGAGTTCTGGCGAGAAAAGGAAAGCCAATAAGAGAGTATTACTGGTCAGAACAACCAGCAAAAAAATGATGACTGATAGGATAGCAACAACCAACGTTTTCTTCTCAGCAGCATAATTGTCAAATTGTCATATTCATTACAAACAAAATATTATTTTGAGTTACTTTTCTTGATCTATTACACAAAACATGTAGCGAGGCCTTCGAATTTAAGATTTACAATATTATATCTATAACACCCATTTCATTTTTGATTTCAAAAATTTCAACATGTGTTTGTCTTGAAGAAACATGATTAATAATTGCATTAAATGTTCTGAATGATTAAGTTTAACTAGGGACGAAAATTGACATTGACAGATCGATGAAATATGATCTGAATTTTTCTGTTACCACTTTAAGATCATAAACCTCCTTAGGTGAATGCATTCTTACAAATATTGATGTCAATTAAAAATATGCTTAAAAAACTGGGCTTCATTGTTTCCCTGCACTTATTGCATAGTCATCATCGGAACAGTGATCAAGGATATTGTTTCATAAACCTGGACCGTGTGAATATTTTACACCAAACTATGAAAATGTTCCTGAAATATTCCAATAACGAGTTTTATCCGTGTGCAGTTCTAGTCGCATCTATGAGCAAATATATTTAAGGTAATCGAAGTTTTATCGAATTTCTATAAATATGTAGACATCTAAGGTATCGCCAAGTACAATAAAGTTCAGGGAAAATAGATTACTTTGAAACTGCCACTTTTTTGTAACAGTTGGAAGACATAGGTAGAAGAACATCAGCGCACCATTGTTATTGTCTGTGATTGTCTAGAAGCGAAATGCTCTCTCTGTCTAGGTTTCACATTCCTTGTCTTTCGTCACTAACTCTCACCATGAATATTTTTGTTAAAGGAGAACATGTTAACAGTCGCTGAACCATTGTTATCATCTAAGAAATATTTACTTCCCATTCTAAAACTCATGCTCACTTTTTATTTGTGATAATAAAAATACTCAGTGAAGGTTTTTCTTATAATGAAAATTAAGAAAACGTGGTGTCTTTCATTGTTGAGGTGAAAACATTTTTGAGTCCAAGCCTAATTCAAAGTCTTTATGTTTGTTCAAAAAAACTAGCAGAAAATGCAAAATAGTTGAGAAAATCGGTGTTTGGTATGGATTTAGGGCATTTGCACATGAGCCCAAACACTGAAATATAAAGTCACAAAGAAATATTCAAATAACTATTTTAGCATAGACTTGAACATTCGTAAAACTGTTATAGTGATAGTTGTAGATTTATTTGTATATAGTATTTCTGCATTATTGTTATTGTTACAGCAAAGAAGTACAGTGATATGTAATCTTTTATAAAGATTATTATTTTCAGATTATTCTAGTGTGTATTTATTACGATTCTAGCATATTCATCGATATGTTAATAAAATTTTAGATTATTGTTGAGTTATTCCTTCCTGCCTCACTATCCCTCCTCCTACCTTGAAATGTAATCAAAAGTGAACTTGAATATGTCTAGAGTACTGTGTTTAATATTTTTTCACTTGATTTTTAAAAGTAACTCCTAACTAATACTGATATCATTATTCATTGAGACGGTAAAAGTAATGAATTTGTTTCTATTAAAAAAACGCATTTTGTGGATAACGAACAATTTTAAATCCAACCCTGAAGTTTTGTCTTTTGAATAGCATGTTTTTGTGAAGGAATTTTTGTGACATTTACTAATAATATTATTTCAATTGAACAAATTCAGAAACTGAGCTCTACATTTTAAAAAACTATGTTGAACTGACATAAGTTGTCTGACAATTCACTTTCTTCAATACTTTCAAAATTTGAGGATATATTACTTTAGAAAATTGAAGGAAATATGATCCTGTTTCAAAATAACATCCACATAAGTGATGATGTTTTCGAATAATTGATGGTGTTTTTCTAAAAGATATTCAAAAATTCATTCCTGTTTGAAAGTTGACACATATAACTTTTGTTAACACGAATTCATTTATTTTTGTGAAAAAATTAATTTACATAAATATCCACAAAGTATTGTCATCTGCGATTCTGATTCGTAAACATTATATCAAAAATAGCATATTATGAAATGAAAACGAAAATATAAGGAATTCAATTTTCCACATCCGTTTGTTTTTATTAAGAATATGTAGGTATTTATTTTTAAATAGTCTTCACATAGGTTTTGGGAATCGAATCTTAAATTTTGGGTTTTCAAAAAGAGATTTTAAAAATGAAGGTGATTTCATGGTGAAACCACAGAGTTACATTTGATTGCATAAATTGAAAAAAAAATTATTAAAGCAATGTCTCAGGTTACACTTGAAACATTATCATCTTTGAACGAAAATAAATTTTATGAAGGATATCATTTTCACATTTCCTAATATGAAAAGAATAAAAAATTGTAATGCAGAACTTTATATAGATGTAGAAAGGACAAAGTTTCATTTATTGTGAAAATAATATCTGTATCAGTAACTTGTCGTATTTAAATATGTTGTCTTTCCAAAATGAACTAAAAATTGTATATACTGGGTGACAAGGAATTCATTGTACACGGCGCCATTCAGTTTTTTGTGGGGTGATAAATTCGAAATATATACCGGTTTAACCGAAAATATACCCAAGTCACAAATTTCAACTAGAATCCTATATCATTATTCAAACCATTTGATAGGATATAAACTTCTCTCTTCAGTGATATAAAACAACTGATCATTTCCATTGAAAATGGCGGCGTAGAAGCCATTTTCTCCAAATTCAATGTGGTGGCACTATGACTTCATCTTTAAAAATATTGTCAAACAACTTGAAATAGTAAGAAACGAATGAAGTAAAAATGGCGTTGAAAAAATAAAATATATGTGAATAGGTGAAAACTGAGCATTTGTCGACTTTTGTTTCAAAAATCTCAATAAGAAGTTATATTTTTAAACTTTAACATTGAAGGGTAGGTACCTGTTTTACTACAAAAAAGTCACAGAATAATATGCAATTCATTTTTCTCTACCAGTGAGTGAAAAAATGAGTAAGGTAATAAGAGGTACACTTCGATGGTGAAGTTCGAAAAATACTACTTCCTATTGAGTTAGATGAAGTAAAAATGGTATTTCAACAGAAAAAATGAAATAGACGTTGGCTAGTAAAACATTTTAAAGTCTTGAATTTTTCCTCAGAAGACTAAGCAAATTTCATCTTTTGAAAGGTGGTGTTACGGTTGTATCGCTGTAACACAAAGGGTTAATATCTCATGTAAATTTAACAAATTCAACTTCTTAAAATATAAATCTGGCTATTCTGAAAACACTTCTACATTAGAATGAATACTGAATAATTCAGATAGTTGCATAATTTTATGTAAAAGAAGTGTCATCTAGTACTTTTATAATTAATAATAATATGACCAACACACGATAATGTAACATGACGTAAGTTCCTAATTATATTCATGTAGTGACTTCGAAAAG